AAAAAAAAAACTTTGAATTTTGTTTGATAAAATTATAACCTTGAACTATACGAAGGGGTGAAATAAAGAGAAAGAAAAAATAATCTTTATAATACGCCTACTAAGTCAAAAAAACATCGAATATTATGAATTTCGTATGACAAATATGTAAAATAAAGTATGTAAAGAGAGTATGTAGAAAAAAAAATGAATAAATGAAATTAAGGCATGAAATTAAAAAAAAACTGAAAATAAGGAACTATGTCAAAAAAAGTTTTGCTCAAATTGGAATGGTTAAAAAAATTATAAAGAATTAAGTGTCTGCAGTCAATTATCGCCTTGTTTCAGAATATATACGGAATCAGAGATGGCAATGATAATGAACTAAGCTTCTAAGTTCAATGATAATGAACGAAGATTAATGCGAACTTATAGCAATTAAAACAAAAACTTATAACAATTATTATTAATTTCAGAGCAAAGCTTGTATTTTTAAATGTAAGAATATTTGCCTCATTAGTTTGCTTGAAATGGAAGTATAACAACAAATCCTATAAATTACATGCGCATCCTAAAAATTACTCATCTGCACCCTAATTTTTTTTTGGGGAGCTTTTAAATTTAGGCCGTAACTTTTCAAATTTACTTTCATGAAATTTCTGAAATACTTTTTAAAATGTTTGCAGTTGTAAAAATTATAAAGTCATAAGACTACGTTTCGATTACGATAGGAATAATTTTAAAAAAAGGGAAAAAATCTAAACCGGTTAAAAAATTTAAGCAGAAAAGTGACTGGAACAAAAACTTACTCTACAAAGTAGGACCACAAATATACTGGGTGCCTTACTTTTGATGATCCGTTAGAGGCTCCTGCTTCTGTTATTCTGATGAATGCTTCGGGACTATATAAAAGACAAAAGTGAGAAAAGTCGCCATCTCCTACAAGTTTTTTCTTGAACATAGACCAGAGATCCAATTTAAGTTCCTTGATCAGTTTTAAGACAATATCAATAGTCCCGACGTTATTAAATATCACATTATAAGAAATATGATTAAATATGCCATTAAAAGTAGTATATGTAATGTTATTATCTTTAGCGCTGTATGCAAGAAGAAAGCGTTTTTCGTCAACGTTAAAATATTCCGCCATTGCTCGAACTGTGATAGGTAATTGTACGACACAGTATAGCCTGGTAAAANTTTTTTAAATTTTTTTTTAATATTAATTTTAGATTTTATAAGACTAAAATTTAAAATTTTTTTTTTACTGGAATGGTCTTACAACAATAAAAAGCTAATTTCTAATAAATATGATATGAATATGGGACAAAATTTAGTTAAATATACTGTCCTTTAAGAACTTAATTAAAAATTATTTTGGGATTAAAATACACTGAAGGTATATGTTATAACTTTGAAATACGGGATATGCTAAGGAACTCTCCTTTCACAAGAATCTTTCCATATCAAATTTATGGGTTCTGAAGGATTAATTTCTTAATATAGATTTTGCGCGTTTTAATAAAAATTCTGCTTTTTAGAGACTTTCTGCATTGATGTGCTTTTATATTTTATCAGAAAATACGAAGGTGAATAATGACTGGTTGCATACTTAATAAGTCGCTACTATTTTTAATGAATAATTATGTGGCGAGTGGTTATTTTCAGACTAACATGCCATAACCATACATTTGCCATAGCCACAGATGTTGCCATAACTACGTGAAAATATATTAAATGCTTATTTAAGGATAAAACACACTTGACCAATTTTAATAAAGCAATGCTTTACTTAAATAAGAATTTGGTAACTCACAAAAATTTTTTTATTGACACAACATTCCTTTCTTAATATTTCAATATTATATAATTCAATGTTTATATATTATAAAAAATTACTCTGCAATTTTTTCTAACTTAAATTACTACATTTTAGTTGCTATAAGTGGTTCAGCATAGGCCCTCTGTTGAAAATAAAAATAACATGTGGTTTATGGAATAAAAACATGTACATCTGTATTATACATCTGTCATTATTATAGGAGGTTCGCTGTTTCAAAAGAGCGCACACTGCATCTCTTACTGACAAATTAGATTGTAATTATTATATGAATTTTATTTTAAGTTAAGGAAAGAAGTTTTATTTTTTGAAAGTACCAAACCACATACACTTTACTTTTCTTATTGACAACTGCTCGGCAAGGATAAAATATTAATAAATAAATAAATAATTGGATAAAAATCAAAGTAATTCTGATCTCACTTCAGATACGTAAATTGTTTATGTGAAAATAATCTTAGTCTTGAGCTTATGCTTTTAATTAATTAAAAGTAACGGTAGCTTAAACTGTTCAGTTTTTTCCTATTACCTATTACTTAAATAAAGAAATTATGTTAAAAAAAATAATTGTTTTGGTTTAGCATTAAAATTTTTTGAATATTCAAGTTCATTTTTGAATTATCAAATTTGAATTAATAACTTATCTGTGAATTTATTCATAGAAATTTCTGAATTTAATTATTGAATTTATTGCAATTTTTCTATAGCTTTATAGTTAATTTAATGCTTAGTTACTTTCTTCTTTATACTTAATTAGCATCTAAATATATAGACTACGAAAATCGCAATCGCTCAAAATTGTAGGTCAAATAAGTTTCCATTTATTTATTTTGCAACTGATAAAAACACCGAACATTTTAAAACCAAAAGGCTACAGTTTACCTCACTACCAGAGATAAGGTGTCTATTCTAAAGTATAAGCGTTTAAAATGATCTAAATACTCCAATTTTGGCTGAAACTAAACAGATATAGGTTAGCGTTAGTAACACATAAAGAATAAGTTTAAAAAAAAAAAATTTATTCTGCCTAAAAAGTACGTAATTAAGAATGCGCCAAACCAGTAAAAAAAGAAAAATGTTTATTATGAAGAAACATTTTTGCTTGCTGGTTTGTTTAGTTCTGAACTTGAAAGGGTATTGTTGCAGTTTTTGGTATTTCATGAAATCTCATCGCTCATCCTATATATATATATATATATATATGTATATATATATATTTGTCTCTTTTGAATAGTGATATTGTATAGTTTGCTTGAATAGTTGCATTTTAACATTATGATAATAATATAATATTGTTTAATAAAATTGTGTAATCTTGAATTTAAATAATATTTCATAAAATTGTGATAAACTCTATAAAAAATCATTGAGTTAATTGTATGCTATTATTAATAACTTTACTAAAATCTTCTTTGTTAATTTAGACTTTTTACCATTGTGCAAATCCTATTCGGATAAATCTCTGCGAATTGGGCAAATCATGTTTTTCACTTTATTTTTTAAATACGTGTTAACTTCCTAAAATCATTAAAGTTTTATAATTAAATATCTAACATATTAATTAAAAACTTCTTTAAATAACCCAGTATACCATTATTACCTCACGCGCATCCAATTTCGGACCCATAATCTTTATAGCTAACAAATCAAATGCGCTCAAATCAAACTCTCTCAGATTGGTTCCTGAGGTCGTATTCTATAATACCAGATTGGTTTGGGTATAAGTTAGCCTTAAATAAGTATAATGTATCTAAATTTTTAAAAAAAGAGTATTTCTACCTATCTTCAAATATTATTAATAAAGAAAAGGGAACCCAGATATCTAAGAAACTGGTGTAAAAGTTTATTTGAAAGAAAAGAGTGCTCCGTTTAAAAAATTACTTCCGTTAATCAAATTAAATAAAATATTAACGCGTTTTGATGAGCGAGTTTCTAATAGGGTTTTTATTAAATTAATTATTATGTACAGATTTTAAATATTTATTCGATTTACACAGAAATCATCTTTGAAAAGGTCGGAGTAACAATTTCAATCTTCTATGTAAACGTCAATGTTAAATCTTTCTAATGTCAACTAGAAATCATTTGTAATTTTTCCTAGTAAAAAGGCCAAAAAAATCGTAAAACTAATACCTTTTACTTATTACTTTAACTCTCTATTTTTGAAAAGCGAGGTTCAGGATACCTAACTAAACTATCTCATCTTTAACAAGAGAAAAATTTGTTTTTCTCAGACCATCATATATAAATCCTACCTTATCATTTTATCACTTACAACTTATAATTAAATTCAGCACTATATTTTATCAGTGTTGTAAGAAGGTATTACACTCAAAAATTTTTTTTTTTGCAAAATCCTGGTATGTTTTGGAAATATGTTCCCAAATTCTTCTGTCGCCAAATTTTTCTGTCCTTTTCCTGCAGTGTTGTGCAATTTTATTCAGTCTACAATCTGTAGGCAAGATCATATTCCCTCCAGATATATAAAATAACTGAAATCAGTTGTGAATTCTATATTCAATAAAGCCACCAAGCCGTTAAAAAACCATATACAATTGATTTGAGTGAGCTAATTGAACATTCATATATTTTATTCATAAGTAGTTCTCGGCATAGTTTTAAGTAATGTGATAAATGTGCAATTATAATAATGAAATTGAAAATGCCAGTACGTTATTAAGTATCCTCTTTACTAAAGATTTTAAAATATAATTTTGAACGCAACATTGAATGGTGGCATTTCAAATACACTAAAATTTTACATTATTAAAATATTACGCTTTGTAGCTATTTACAGGATTAATTTTGTGTTTCTTTTTCACTAAGTCACGTTTTCATAATTCTGTATGAGCTTTTGCGTTGACTTTTCATTAAATTGTGAATTAAATACTGCTTCTCATAAATGCTACTTTGAATGCTTTGAAAAAAGGCTCCAAAATTAATCAAAGCACCACTATAAAATACTATGTAAATCTATACAAAAGAAAACTTCAAATTGTAAGAAACAAAAATATCACATTATCAAACATATGTCACAAGTATTAATACTTTTAATGTTATATTGAGCTATATTGTCCTCACAATTTTCAAATTATCCATGCACTCTATTTTCTATGTAAATGTAAATAGATACTTCAAACAAACAAAAAATAAAAGAAGCAAATAACAATAAGCAATTAAATTGAAAGACACAAACAAAATATAATTACACATAGATTACATTGTTTATTTATATGCGGGAGAAATATTTCAACAGTGAAGCATGCAACATTTAAAATAATATCGTAAAAAAGTTTATAAGAAACATTAACATTTAATCATTAAATCATAATTAAAATGATCAAGTCTTTTATTTATTTCGTGAAATACTTTGAAAAAATTGATTTCAAGATAAAGTATTCATTCTATCTTGTGGAAATCTCTCAGAAGTAAATATTTCTGGACATGTTTGGGAATGCCCAGTTCCTCCACTCCTTCGGGCAACTTAAAGTTGTCTCCTAATTGGTTTCTGATGAAGCATCTTGAAAGGTGCTTCAGAGATCGTGGACGCCTGACAGAAGATTCTTCATAATTCACTAGATTGCAGTACCATTGCCATATGTTGTTTATCTCCTGATAATACATAGGATCGACCCCTTCAAAAAGCCTAAAAATATCAGTGAAGGTCAAAAGCGGATCTGGGATGGAGCTCCAGAGTACTCGCACGGCCATTTCGGTCTCTGCAGATTTACGGGTGATGTAAGTGAACCGCATATGAAGATTCAGAAACTGAAGCGCACGGAATTTGAGAGGATTTCTGGAAATATCATCCCAATTTTCTATCCACGTATTGTAGTTTAGAAAATTAAGAAACCTAAAAAGTAAAAAAAATTAATTAAAAAGACTCAAATTAAATTTTTTAAACGCGTGTAAGATGTGTTACTCTGTTTCAATACATTTTAAAAGTGATTTTCAACACGAAATTATAGCTGGTTCCGTTTTAAGGGGGATCTTAATTCAAAATAGAAGAAAGAATAGTCAAAATGGAAAGAAATTGCTAAGCTATTTTCCCAATTGTTTCAGCAGTAGATCCTCCAATTCACTTAATTTTTAAGATAGAAAATAATGCATTTTGAATATAACCGTGATCTTAATCATTTGATTTTTTTTAAATAAATTACAAGTTTAATTCAGCTGAAGCGTAAAAAACATAAACTTAAACAAACATAATTTTTTTAAAATTTAACAATAATATACTTAATAAAAAATATTATTAATTTAAGTTTAAAATGTTTCAATATAATACAATTAATAAATATATTCTTAAAGGTGTGATTTTTTAAATGTCAGATGCCATTGATAATGAATGATTTTTATGGAAGCCATCGTTTTTATTACGAAATAATAAAAGGCACATGCAATGAAATTACAACAATAATAATTTCATTATTTCAATAAAATGTGCATTGATTTAAATAAAATGGGTTTTTTTTTTAAAACAAATGAATAATTTAAACAAATTGAAAAACAAATTGATTAAAAAAATTATTTTAAACATAAAAATCAAAGTAATTCTGATCTCACTTCAGATACGTAAATTGTTTATGTGAAAATAATCTTAGTCTTGAGCTTATGCTTTTAATTAATTAAAAGTAACGGTAGCTTAAACTGTTCAGTTTTTTCCTATTACCTATTACTTAAATAAAGAAATTATGTTAAAAAAAATAATTGTTTTGGTTTAGCATTAAAATTTTTTGAATATTCAAGTTCATTTTTGAATTATCAAATTTGAATTAATAACTTATCTGTGAATTTATTCATAGAAATTTCTGAATTTAATTATTGAATTTATTGCAATTTTTCTATAGCTTTATAGTTAATTTAATGCTTAGTTACTTTCTTCTTTATACTTAATTAGCATCTAAATATATAGACTACGAAAATCGNGCTTCGTTAAAAAGCATGGATTAACTAGAAATAGAAAGATGTATGAGCGCACAACGACGCAGCAAGTAAGATGACGGAAAATTGTCGCGGTTGCTTCACCTTGAAAGGAGTGGGTCAATGGGAGTGTCTTCTCCACTTACTCCTAGCTCCATGAGGTGGTCAGCCGAACGCGAAACCCCCAGTGTTTAGTTCCCAAGCATTCTTGGTACTCATTTATCGACCCACTGAAGGGATGAAAGGCTGGGTCAAACTTGCCCAACCAGAGGATAGAACCAGGGAACTGAGGCGCGATAGCGCGAAGCGTTACCGCTCAGACACCGGGCGAGCGGTAGCAGTTCAATTTTAAAGCTAACGAATGAATGATTCTGCTATGACGAGTTTTATTAATTTAAAGTTGTAACATCCAGTTCAATATGTGATAAAATTAATGAATTTAGTTTTGCATAATCTAAACCTATAACAATCCCAAATAGTTGTCTTAAATCAGACAATATATCATTTATATACATCATGCATCACTCAGGCGGTGCAAAAACTTAAGTTTCCCCCTGGTAAGATAAGCCCTAACTACGCTTTTGCGAGTACTAGAGTGCCTAGGGTAGAAGAGTGTGGACAAAAGAGAAACGATTCCTGATTGGTGGAAAGAAAAACTTTACCGCCGGAGGCGAGAGTGGAAAATTCGCCATTGGAATAACACGGAGTGAAAATTATCTGCCTCAAAAAATTTATGTTCTGCATTAATAAAGGCATGTAATAAGTTCATTACTTACTTTTTTTCAATAAGAAACTTCACAGTTACAGTGAATGTATAAATTAAGGCTGAAAATTTGGATATTTATTAGTTATATGAATTTATCCCTATTATTACTTACTTGCGCGCTTGCTTACTTTTGTTTATTACATTCCAAAGAGAGCAAGGTGATAAAATAACTAATGATTTCATAAGAATAAATATATTTACTTTTAATAAACATAATTTCTATTTAAATTACCTATAAATTTTAAGATTTGAGCATCTTTTTATCAGAGCTTCAGAAGTGCAGAGTTTGGCGATATTACTTTGAAATGTTGGCGCGTTACAATGTTCGCCACTCTACAGTTGTTGCCACTCTACAATGTTCGCCACAATACAGGCACTCTAGTTAGTACTACCAAGATTTGGTTTTTTACACTTGATTGCATATGGCAAGTTGTATTTCTCAGAATAATTTTTAAAAAAACGTGAAAAAGTAAATAACTATAGAATGTTTTGAAAGAAGAATTCTCTAAATACATACACTTTTCAAGTTGTAATTGATTTAAAATGTACTTAGCCGAGTTAAATTGTTTCTTAAAAGATTAAAATTGAGTTGCTTACCTCAAAATAAAATAAAATAAAATTTCTCAATCAATTTTAACATAAATATCTAACATAACACAGTTAAACAGATTTTATTAGATTACTGAGGTAAGATGCATTATTGTAAATGGATATACAAGAATTTTTAGATGGTTTTTATTCATTTGTCACTTCATTTTATAAAAGAAAGTGAAATAAGAAATTAGATTTAAAAAAATGTAATGAAAGGAATAGCAGTAAGTCGAACGTAAAAATAATTAATTATTAATTTAAAATAAAAACATTTATTATTTTCAAAATCAAAATAGAATGTATAAATAAGACTTCGAATCTTACATTAAGCAGAAAAAATAATTTTTTTATGTTAAATTCTACTGGCACAGTATGTATTATGCATTTTGGTGTCGGATATAAACCATCAAAAGTATGTAGGAATTTTTTTTATTAATCAAAATTTAAAATGTTTCTACACATTTGTCAGGATAACCTATCTTTTTACAGTTTACTTTCGATATTTTTTATTACATTTTCTATTATTAGTGTGAATTTAAAAAAAATGCACTTGTTACAGATTCGCCTGTCGTGGTTAAAATTTCAAATGATATATCCTTTTATTTCACATCTTATAACTTCTTAAAAACTGATATATATATAAGTTAAAATGAGGGATTGCTTGACTTTGCTGAGAAAGAATAATTTACCGATTTCATTGGATAAGAGTACAAAAATTTTCAGAAGAAGAGTGCAAGAAATAATGTATTATTGACTTATTATCAACTAATTTTTGGAGAATTTTATAAAATTTTTTAACCGTTTTGAATTGTTTTGTCAAAAAAGAAAATACCCCCAAAGCATCAGAACAAACTTGAACGATGAATGAATTCAGTTCATGGACTAGAAGCAAATAAAAAACTTTACTTTTATAAAGAGAAGAAATATATCCTAACCCATTCTTCCACCTACACCATAATCTTTGCCTTTTCTAAACTGTATAGTCCCATAGTTTTCAACGAGGTCAAAAGTTTCCCCATTCATTTACGAACCATGGGAAAGTTTTAGATGCTAGCATGAAATGTGCTAGTTCATCTCCACAGTTAGTGGTAGTGTAAGTAACTATTAATCATAATGATTTTCATTATGAGACTTGGATAAACATGCATTTATCTGCAGCTGTATCCTTTATCTGACATCCAAAATATTGAAAAGAAAAAAAATGTTAATTAGTTAATAAAAGCTCATTAAACGGTTCTTTCCGTGTCTCTCTCTCCTTCCTGCTGTCAAAGGAAGAATTTGAAGAGAAAGTGTTCACTAAAACAATAAAAATAAAACAAAATCTCTGCTTCATAATAAAGAATGATTTATTTTTTATGAGTTGAGCTGACACAACGTGTGCATAAAATATCAAAATTAAATTTTGAAGAGTCTCTGGGCTTAGAAATTTCCGAAAAAAAGAATGTAAATATTAGCATAAATTTATTTAAAAATGTATATCTTTTCTATCCAAATTATGTCAACATTTCAGATTTAAATAATAAACATATGTTAAAAAAATTTAAGTTTCAAATATTACTTATTATTAAAAATATTTAAAACAATTAAATAATTTTGAAAGCTTAAAAAGAAAAATCATACTTATATTCAGTTCATAATCACACTTAAATTCAGTTATATGTTCTGTGCTCCATAAATAAAATTATACTTGGAACAAAACTTTCAGTTCTTAACAAATAATGGTGAAAAAAATAGAGTCTTTTTTATTTTTTGTTATAAAATTTGTTTTCACTATAATTAAGTAGAGCAAATCATATACTTTCGACATTCATCCAAATTATGTCGACATTTCAGATTTAAATAATAAACATATGTTAAAAAAATTTAAGTTTCAAATTTTACTTATTATTAAAAATTTTTAAAACAATTAAATAATTTTGAAAGTTCAAAAAGAAAAATCATACTTATATTCAGTTAATAATCACACTTAAATTCAGTTATATGTTCTGTGCTCCATAAATAAAATTATACTTGGAACAAAACTTTCAGTTCTTAACAAATAATGGTGAAAAAAATAGTGTCTTTTTTATTTTTTGTTATAAAATTTGTTTTCACTATAATTAAATAGAGCAAATTATACAATTTTTCTCGAGTTAACATTTGCAATTTTTAAATGTAGTGTAAAGTATGAACAGTGTTCCAAAATATGTCCTAATATTTTCTTTGGCCCACTGAGAGGCCTGATAGTGTCTAATTGAAATAAAAAGAATTATTCTCTAAGAAGAAAAGAAAACTGTGTGAACTCTCCTCCCGCCCATCTCAAAAATAAATTGCTTTTCAATAATTTACAGTACACAATTTAAAAATAAATAAATAAATAAACAAAAATAATCATGAACAAATCTATTGTTATCTTTTTAAAAAAGTTTCAAAAAAATATACACTATCAATGAAGAAAATTTTCATTTAATCAAATTGCTGTTTTATTTGATTTTCAGTAAACATTATTGGCATATTTATTTCGTTAAAATCTAAGGTAATCAAAGATCGAAGTTATACTTTAATTAAAGATTTGACAATTTTAAAACTTAATTAAT